CCAGCCGCAGAGCCAAGCACMGTGCCAGGGCAGATTTTCTCAAGGGAGAAGCAGCTGAGTCACAGCAGCCTGCGATCCGTTCCCACAAGCCCGGCTGCAAGAGACGCACGGGAGTTCACGGAGGACAGGCGCTCACACAGGGATCTGGCAGCTCTGCTYCGCTTGTCTGCAAACCTCTCTGAGCCAGCGGAAARCATCTCCTGGCTCAGGATCTGTCGGCAGCGTGCCCTCGGGGAAGGGCTGGTGAGACTGCGGGAGGGCAGGGTCCTGACCTGCCTCTCAACCAGGCAGAGCTGCTTTGGGATGTTCCTGCAGCAGGGAGGGGAGCGCCAGCAGTCACAGGGAAACCCTTTAGAGGATGGARTTGTGGGGCTCGGTGTGGGGTCTTGTCCCAGCTCTGGGGCAGGAGCAGGGCACAGGGGGCTGCAGGCAGAGGCAGAGCTCCAGGAGAGGTGACTGGCTGGGCAGGACATCAGCAATCCCTCCGCCCATCTGCAGTCCCAGCTGCTCCCGGTAAAAGTGGGCAGGCTCCAGGCTGGCCGGGGAGCACAGGGGAGTCTCTCTCTCTTTCTGCAGTGGGGCACAGCAGGTCAGGTCCCTGCCACACACTGCCCAGAGCAGCAACACAAATACCTGGGGCTGCATGAGGGCTGGGATAAGACTGGTGGCTTTTAAAAGCTGCCCTTTTGGGTGAGCCAGCCTGCACCCCGCAGAGCTAAAGGCAGGAAGGTGTTATGGTCCCCAGCATCGCCCCTCTGGGCACAGCCACCAGACAGGGTCCGTGTCCCCATGGCTTCACCTTGGGGCTCCCGGTGTCCCTGTGCCCACGCCACCTCTCTCCCAGCCCTGCTTCCTCCAGCCCAATGCTCGGCTGAGCCRTGGGCATCCTGCCCCTCCTTCCCAGGCACCGAACCCCAGCACTGCCATCTCTGCCACCAAAGAAGAAACCCGAGCAGCACAGTAAATAACCCCCACACACACAGCAGAGCACTGGCAAGCAGAGCCCGGCACATCCATCATTCTCACAGTTTTTCTTCAGCTCTGACACTTTGATAGGGGCGAGGGGGTGGGGAAGGAAAGTAGCTTCCAAAATTTATGAGCTAGGATTTAAAAATACAATCTCCCAGAAGCACTGCAAAACCCAGGGATGGCGAAGGCGAATGGCTTAGAAGTTGCCTTTAGAAATGAATGCAAAAGCTGTGCCTGCCTSGGAAAGAGGGATTCGAGAGACCTGCATGGCTGATGTCACAAACCACGTCCCTGGTGGGATCATTTTGCAAGTCACAGCTCTCCGTGCCGTGCATTACAAGTGAAATGAAAGGTGGAGGTAACAAACGATGGGTTAAAATCCCTCCAGCCCAACGCTAATGTCACCCTCAATGCAGACAGGATTTGGACTGTCACCTTCAATTTCCCGGAGTTTCTCCTCTACATCCCTGACCTCCCACTGGTGCATGCAAAGCCAGCCTTCCAGCCCTCTTGGAAACAGATCCCCGTTASGCAAAGGAAAGAGCTTGTAGCTGTAAATTTAGCTGAAAACATCTCTGCCACAGGGAATCATGTATCAAATAATAAAGCCAAACGAATGTCAGGAAGAACAACCACAATATTGGAGTCCTTGGTCTTTACAGATGGACCGTCCCTCAGCAGGGTGCTGCAGAACGAACAGCTGAAAAACGTTACCCAGTCATTAAAAGCATCTAAAAGTAATTTAGCCTGWGTGACAATGATGCTCAAAGCAAGTTGTTTGTCTGCTCAGATAAAATGAGCTATTTCAAGCTTGCCTTTTGTTGTAGCTTTCTTTTAAAGTCAGAAAGGACTGAAAAAACCACTGAGCTGACAGCCTTGCCAGCAGAGCCCTGGCGCTGTGGGGAGCATCACCACGRGCTGCTCTGATCCCCCCTGCCATCRCTGTCCCGTATTCCCTGGAAGGATGCTCAGAATGATCCGGGAAGATGGTGCCCRGGGCCACTGCAGCATCTCTGCTGAKTTACCGTGCCRTTTAGGATGATGGTTTTGCTATGGAAACATCTCACTCCTAACAACAGATCTGTCAGCACGTGTCCCAAAAGCAGACCAGCATTCATTACATGGTGATTTTTGCTTCCCTGTGATGGAGSCCAGAGAGTTACCCTTCCCATGCTTTTCTTTTAAAAAAAAAAAACCCAACAAAAATCCAACAAAACTGAACAACCCGAATATCTGGGCTCACCCATCAGTAGCATGGCATGAGCCCAGGATTCATCTAAAATCTCCTCGTAAGCATATTTTTTGGTGGGCTCTTAGGGCACACAGAGCATTTCAAATGCCCAGTGTTAAATATTTCAGGTGAAACATAACTCTTCTAAGTGCAGCCAGCCTTACTCTGGATCTCCAAGTCAGTGAAATTTCCCAGCAGCCTTCAGGAATTGATTTGCTTCTTGCTGGTACCTTCTCTCTGTGCTGTTCAACTGAGTTAATGTATTCCAAAACCTGATTTTTTTTTTCTCTCCCCCTACATAATCAGATTTTTTGGAGGCTGCAGTGAGATGCCTTACAAGCAGTTTTTATCCTTAGGTGTTTTCTGAGCAGGCTGCATCCATCACGTCCTGGTGCTTTAGCACATCTCTGTATGAACGGTTCATTCAGGAGTCAGCTGAATTCCTTTGATTCATGTTCCTGCATATCCATATAGCTAATTCACCTTTATTAAAAGACTAAAAAAAAAAGGGAGAAAAATAGAAGGGAAGGAGAGGAGCTGTTAGGAAGGGCAGTGTCGAGGCCAGCAGAGCGAGTGCTGGAGGGCCGGGTTAATGAGCTGCGTGGCTGCTGCTGTCCAAGCACCCAGGCTGGCTGGAGCCAGGAGCTGCTGCCCCAGCAGGGCTGACTCAGTCCTTCACTGGGCAGACATGAGCTGCAGGGTCCTGCACCCTCTCTGGAGAGTCCCTATGCTTTGGGGTCCATGGTTAACCTCACTTGCTTGAATCTCCTCCCCGATATTTTCTACAGCAGGGTCCCTGTGTGTGTTCAGCTTGGGCCAAGCCCCCTGCACAGCCCAAGCTGCATCCCTGTGCTTTGGGAAGGAGGTGAAACACGAATATGGAAAAATGGATCTGCCCTCACATCTCACAGGAGCAGCACTCTGTTCACTGCCGTGGGCTGGACAAGGACACTGCCCCCCCTCGCCTGTGCCAGCAAGGGCACTGCGCTGTGCCCTGGCAAGGACACTTCCAAGGAGAGGGAGCAGGGATTTGAGAGACATTCATCACGATCATTTATTCCTGTCATTTCTGACCCTCAGGGTAGGAAGAACATCAGAGCACTGCAGGCACAAAACAACAAGCTTTGTAGGTCATATCAGCGTGTAAAGTGCCATTAGGAACCACAGCACGAAGCATGAATAATACTTCCTTTATTCCATCATATACCTCAACGCCCTTTAAATAAATGCAAATGGGTTTTTGTGGACGAGGTTTGTACGAGACGCCTGCTCAAGGCCACGGGGCTGAAATGGAGCTGGAGCAGTAATTTTGGTCTCTTCCACTGTGACAAGTCAGAGTGTCTGCAGCACTGTCTCATGGTGACAGTCCAAGCCAAGCCAGGCAAAAGAACCAGGAGAACACTGTAAATCTTTCTYGCAYAGATTTATGCTCTGCCCATTAAACYAGAACCACAAAACACATGTCCTTCCAYGCTACCCTCCTCTCTCTGAAGGACACCAGAGCAGGAAAAAACTTTGAAGGACTCCAAGCCTGCAAAGGGACCTTCAAGATCCAATCGCATCATTTCTGAAAAACCACCACCAGTCAACCTCGACGGCTTAAATCCTGAAATCCTTTCAGCAAATAATGACCTCGATTGCTAAAAAATGATCAGATAACGCAAAGGCAGAGAGAGATGCGCAGTGACTCATCGCCCCCCAAGCAATTGAACTCCCTTTGGTCTCAGCCGGAGCGGGGTGAGGTTGCCCCCAAGAGGCAAATCTGACACAGCAAGTAGAGAGGGAAAATGCTGAATTGTGCTCTAGAGGTATCACGTGGGAAAGATCTTTTTTTAAAAAATATCCTCATCTGCTCTTATTTGTACTTCTCCCTAGCTGCAWACAGCAATGGATGGGGTGGGAGGGGAGAGGAAGGAGGTCAGCTCTGGCATGTGGTTGGCTGTGTTCTGCTGGAGCTCCTGAACCACACAACTCGTTTGCCTAGTCTCACTCACAGGGTCATTATAAAGATCAAAAAATGTCACTGAGTTTTCTTCAGCCAAATGAAACATTTGATCCCATACACCTCGCTAGGCTCCTTCGGAGCACGGGCTGGCACCACCTTCAACAACAACTTCTGCCTCGGGAGCGGAAGGAGAGATGCGATGGTGGACACGACTGACAGTTTGGAAACCGTGAGATGACACGACATGAAATCCCTCAGCTGTTCACATAAAGCATACAGGCGGTAACACCACACTGGACCAAATCCTAGCACCTTGCAGGGGCTGAAGGAACAGGGCAGACATCTGGGATMTCTTCCCAGCACATGCTCCACCCTCCAGGGATCAGCAGCCTGAAGCTTTCTCAGCCAGGAAGAGCTGCTTTCATTTCATAGACCCCCCGCTGCATTTTTCTGCCGCAAAATGCTCTTTGAACCTCTAAGCTTTTAGCATCCACAACATCCTGAGGCAAGCAGATCCCCAGCTCCTGCCTCTTTTTGTTTGCTTTGAGCTTTCCTGCTCATAAAAGAACTATGGAGTCTGAAGCCATATTACAGAGCGCCACTGAATGGCTTCTCCTCATTTGCCCTTTTTCAGGCCGTTTGATTGTTGAGCTCTCCATCCTCCTTTCCAGCTATTTCAGAGAGACGCAGCCGACTCAGGGCCGCTGCAATTTATTCCCGTCCTTTACACACGCACCCAGACTCGCTCACAAAGGGCTAAACCTGTGACATAACCAAGGATTTAATTGTTCCTGCAGTTCTTTTCGAGAGGACACCGTTTAAACACCCAAGCTGAGATGCACCCAGGGTACTCACTGCTCCTGCASCAGGCTCCTCGTGGGTCCCCCTGTCCTGCTCAGCCGGAGAACATTCCCGCATCCCCAGCACGAGCCCCTGCCRCAGCACCTCGGCTTACTGTCAGCTCCAAACTGGAAGCGTCATCTCCAAAATTACTGTTGMGCTGGCTCCTGCCAGACTCTTAATTAGAGGAAGGCTGACACAGTTTCTCAGCAAACGGCGTTCGCATACTGCGGGAAAAAAACAGAATGAGGGCAAGAGGAAAAATGGGCTAATCAGAGAAAATCAACCAGAGGGAAAAACACATCGTGTTGTGCAAACCTTACCATAACAATACCAGAGCACAAAATACCGGGGGGGAAAAAGGATTAGTGCACAGGGGAGGCAAGCAGCTCCGCAAAGGTGGAGGAGAGCTGGCATGCGGTGCAGCATCTCAGCATCCTCACCTGGCAGGCCTCTCCCCACAGCCTGGTTAGGACAGAGGGGACAGCTCAGCTTCCAGCACGCAGATCAATGTGTCTGAGAGCCTGGACGATGCCGTCTGAGGAGCCCACGGCYGCCCTGCGTGATTTATGCTGCCTTTATAAAAGCCTGCAGTGTGAAAAAGCAGGAAACTGAATGCCTTGCCCCTCTCTCCCCACCGCTGCGCCTGGCAGATTTAAGCTATTGTTTTTATTCCAGCTGCAGCCTGGCTTTCAGTCCGGAGAGGAAAGGGATCCTCTGCTCCTGCATCTGCTCCGAGAGCCCCGAGTTTCAGCAGGCTCCGGGAGAAGAGAGCCTGAGACCCAGAGGCAAAGCCCCTGATCCTGCGTGCCGAGCCTCAGCTCGGGTGAAGGACCCTCCCCGTAGCACAAAAGCAGCACAAATCCATTTACCCTTTCTGCTTCTCTCTGCGAGGGGGAAGGAGCACCGCTCGCCGGGCTTCAGGCAGCTTCGGCCGCAAATGCAATCCTAAAGGAAAGCACTGGGACAAGGGTGTGTGAAAATGGCCCCTTTATCCACTCCTACACACCATACGGGCCAAACCTGCCTTGAAAAGCTTTAGGTTTCCCCCCAGGCTGATGGCAAAGGCGCTTTGATGACAATGAAGGGAACAATTCCAGTGGAGTTTCCACCCCCTTCCCTGTGACCTCCCTCCAGGGAACTGGGAGGTGGCAGGAAAGCTGAAGGAGGTGGAACATTTGCAGCAGCTCACCGTGCAGAGACACGGGAGACATCCAAAAAAGTACAATGTATCCGAACGCCACTTAAAAGCAGCTGAAAGTATAGCACTGGCTTTCACCATCCAGACCGAAGTATCAAGTTGGGAAGACGCGAATGTTTTTCTTCTCTCACCACCCAGCCTTGCTTTTGATACCAGATAAAACACTCCCTTTCAAATTCSTGACTGCAAAGGCGAGGAAGCGCTGGCTGAAAAAAGCATCAGTCAGGCAAATCTAAAAGCCTCTCGGCTTTTAGAGAAGAGAAGCCCGTCGAGGAATTTACTTTCTCTAGAATCCTCCCCATCATCAGCCGGTCCCAACACTGAAAGCCCTTTTCAACGCGTGATAAGCAGGGGGCCCTTCCTACCTTTTACCAGTAAAGCCGCCAAAATATCCACAAGACAAAACATGAGGGTATTGCACAGCCTGGGGGGAACATGGAAAAACTGCAATTTAAACAACATTAAGAGAATTCTGCTAAGTTTAACCACAAGGAACAAGCTAAATCCACTAATGATTGTCTGACCTCTCTGGGCAGCTCCTTTGGAACTCCTCTGCAGCTGCTTAGGCTCCTGCAAGCTCATCAGACCTCTTCTCTGCTGAGAGTCAGCCTTTTCTCWCTTTCAGGATGAAGAAACAAGCGCGAATATGCCAGTGGAAACATCTGCCCTTCTGGCAGAGGGTGACRTTTGCCACAGGAAAACTCTGGGCAAGTTTTCCAAAAGCTTATAAACCCGAGGAATGAGACCCCAGAAAAACTAGGAGGGTCATCTTCAGCAGAAACCTGATTTGCCCTTTTCAGTAAAACAAAAAGTTGTACAACTAGCACAAAACAGTGTAAGACAAATAAAAAAACCAAAACACAAACCCAAAGCCAGGGATACTGTGCTATACATACAGCTCCTCTGGGAAAGAAAGCAAACATACGAGACCAGTGTTAATTCTGTAGCTCCAGTATTCCTGTTGGTGACCGGATCAGCAGAACCCAAACTCCTGGAAGTACTTGCTTCAATCTCCACAGCAGCACAGTCTCTATCACAGCCCTGTGCCCAAGTGCTGGCCCCAGGACACTCAGAACTGGTGCTGGACAATGCTGAGCACAGGAATCTCTAACAGAGACAGACCTGGCTTTCTGTGTCGGAAAACCAACWCTGCAGTATCCATCCCTCAATATTAAAAGACTTTTTCCACACTGAAGTGCTGCCTCTGAAATGCCTTTGCAGACATCTAGCCCGCTGCTCCACCAGTAATAAAAACACCCTTCAGGTGTTYCAGTCACCTGCTTTTCCCAGACTAAATCATCAGCTTTGGGGACTTCAGAGAGTTCCTGCAGCCACTGCATAAATGATGTGTCCTACTGACCTTCAGCCAGCCCTACSTGCAAGTCATTAATCACTTCTGAAATCCCCAACAGAAACAATGAGAATATGAGATGCACAAAGTTTCACTGGCAGGTTTCTTCAACTTTAAAACCAAAAGTGTTTGTGTTATTTTAAGACAGAGAGGCTTGTCCGAAAATTAAAAAAAAAAAAACAAGGAGCTACATAAATTTATAATCAGACTTTAATTTTTTTTGTTATTACCGCAAAGTACACCTTCTTCCACATGAAATGTGATAATGGGGCTCTTAATGCAGCCAATATCGTATCAAAAGATAGACCTCAGTGCAAAATGCTTCTCTGAAGACATACCAAGCAGTTAAGACCTTCAGTGTGCAAAGAACCTTTTCCAATGCGTGTAAGTCCTGGCTGGGGACAAGTGAGTTGGCAAAACGCGAGGGCTGCAGGGTTTGCTATTTCACTGCCAGGAGCCCCTTGTAAAGATTCCATAGTGATGCTCAGGGATCTCCTGTGCAAGGATTCTGATGAGCACCACTTCAACCCACATCCAGACTTCAGCAATTGTGGAATTACTCCTCAACCACAAAACAGATGGAAGAGAAGTCCAGACAAAGCAGGAGTGTGAGAGAATGTATACACAGGCATTAACCATGAAAACACAGCACAGGCTGAGCTGAGAATGATTTCAAGACTGTCTCCATCTATAGTGAGCTAATCAGCTGTGAACCCAAGAATTGTAACGTGCCATAAGAACAAAATAGGACCTGCAGCCATTTTCTTTGTGAAAAAGAGCCCATTTTTGTCCAGGGACATTTAACTAGAAAGGCGTGTCTGGTTTTATTTTTTGTTGTTCTGTTAAATAAAAGTAAATATCAAACTGGTTATTTTATGTGGAAAACCCCCAAATCTCAGCAGTTTCAACATGCTTTGAACTGCAATACAAAAGCTGTTCAACTAAAATTCCCTCTTTTCTTCAAAATACACAAGCCAGCAACATTAACTTCACACAGTAAGAAAATATATACAGATTAAATACAGTAAACATTCGGCATTTTATTTACCTTTATACAATATTAGTGAAAAAAATATAAACATTAATAAAATTACATACAATATATTCAACAGAGTGAGCAATTATTACAAGAGGGAAGGCAGATAAGTTATCAAAGACAGAGCAAAAGATGGCATTGACATAACTACATAACACGTGAAAGAAAAACATTTAGTATGAATTTGCAAATAAAATACATTTCCTCTAAGACACGTCCATTCTACAGCAGCTCCTTTATATGTAATATACATAGTCAAAGTTGAAGATTTTGGGGTTGGCAGTTCTTTTGAGCCTTATTTTACATTCTTATTATACAGAATTCTTCATACAAGACAGTAATCCACAAGAATTAAAAGGAAACAGTATTATAAAACACATGTTGATGTTATAAAAAAATCTCACTTATTACCGGAATCCCCATTGGTGCTGCTACCCAACACTTTAACCTTCTCTTCCTGTATGCACCCACCCTACAGACAGAACAGAGTGTAGGATTTCAGTGATGACATTTGTACAGAGAGCACAAAAGGAGATCACACCTTCCTCTGATAATTTCATAAACAGCTCCTGGAGCTTAGAGCACATATTGTGGGCGCAGCAGGACTTCACGCCAAGGAATTCAGTCTTATATGGCTTTCCACAGTCTTTACATAGGTGAGCCAAATGCTGTTCTCAAATCTCCACTGAGATAATATTTCAGGATTAGTATTTTTCTCCATTTTGAAAGAAAAAAATACAAAATACAGCAGTTGCACTAAGAGACACTGGATGTTCATATCAATTCTGCTTTGCAGATTACCATGATTCAGCCCAGATCTGAACCACTTCCTCACCTGCTCAGAGCAGGGGAGGTCTAACAATGCTTCTGAACTCATGTTCCATGTCACAGAGCAGTTCTTCTCCAGCCAACCTAAAACAATCCATGCAGGTACGTGCTGGCAAGAAAATGAATACATACTGTTTTCAAATATGTCYTGTGATTAACAAGGGAAACAAGAAAATTTCCCTCAGGTTTCAATATGGTAATACATTTTTAGCCAATTCTGATAGGGCTATAGGAATGGCTGGGGTTTTTTTCAGTTTATCCACTTCAATTTTACRGAAGTAGAACATTTGTAGTAAAAAACAATGTTAGTCAAATCCGATCCTCATGTGTCTAGTATTTGCTTGTATCAAGCTCAAGTTCTAATTCAGGTGACTGACTTCTTCTGTTCCAAACAAGGTGAAGTTCCACCTTGGGGATGTTTGGTCATCACTGTGTGTCTTTCTTGATTTCAGTTTCTCTGTTATTTTCCCTTAACCAGGCAAGATTTCATGAATCTGGCTCCCAGAAGTCATGCAGTTTTCCCTAAAGAGTAAAAACAATTTAGTATACAAGTCAGAAACACAGTATGAGAAGAAATGAGCAGAGTAGGCATTGCTTAGCTTGGGAGCACCACAATGTGCTGGAAAAAGTCCCTGCAACTTTATTCTGAAACACTTGCCAGTTTCCCATATGTGAATCAACCCCAAACATCTCTTAAGAAACAACTCTGAAAGACCTACATCATTATCAACTTTCATTAATTACTAAGCAGATTCTGCAGTCATGTGTTAACACAGGTCACTACCTGCTCTAGAACATGAAATATCACACACGCTACACACAACTTTGTTTTTTTGCACATTGTTGGGAGCAATTAGTAATCTTTACAAATGGTTAATTACACAGCTTTTAACTGCAATCAATACCAGGCATACATGTATAATTTAAATTTAAATATACTCTGCATTACCATAAAGCTAAGCTTTTCCAAGAGACATAATTTCATGTTCCAAGCCAGGACTCAGTTGTTCAGATCACAGTACAAAAGAAACCTTACAAGCCAAGGCTGGAAGAAACAGCTCCGAACTTTTGGTATCAGTAAAATTTATCCACCCATTCCACCAAGGCCACAGGTAGTGGTGTCACAAAGGTAAATACTTCTGAGAYTTACCATGGCATTATTTACTACTGCATACTTTTACAAACATGAGAGGCTTTGCCTAATTGTGGCATAATATTTGACACATTCAGAGGGGGAGGAGTTGTGGAGAGCCTATGTGGATAAAGCCCTGGACTCAAGAAGTCTCACTCTCACATGGTGCCAGATCACAGCAGGAAGTGTCTCACTGCATTCCTGTCCCAATGTCCTTTTGGAAGCATCTGTTAATAGCTGTAATGAGTGACAGGCCCTGTGACTCGACTCAGGACTGGGATTTCCAAGTACTATGCACACCTTTACAAAAAAGYGCTTTAAACAATGGAGAGGAGATCTTGGTTTTAGTGAAGCCAGCAAAGTAAGAATTTTAATTGAAGTCCATTCTAATATAGCTAAGAGCATTCCACAGCCATGCTATCTATGAAGAAAAAGAAAAGCCCTTTAAAAGAATATGCTATTTTCAAGCACTAAAAAACGAGTTTAATGCACCCTGCAATGTGGAGAGAGAAAATGGTTTCATTACAGTACCTGAGAAAGCCGAGTGCTTTGTATCACGTCCTGCCATTTGCTATATATCGTAGCAGCCAAGCATTTTACCTGCAAATGCAGACTGATTACTTCAGGCCATTCATGTTCAAAAAGACAAAATCATACCCTGTGTTCCCCTGCAYGGTTTCAAAATTATAAAACCCCAGATAATCCAACATTCAAGGTTTACTGGAAAGGAACAATTTTATTGTCACCAAGTGTCACCATCTTAACTTCAGATCCCTGTGACTCTGACTTTAAAGTAATGCACTCCACAAACACATTACAGGCACATGACTCCCGAGGTTAAATGTTTGGAATCACCATGCAAACTTCTGGCCTCCAAACACCATCTCATCCCTGGGTAATGAGGTTTGTCACACAAGCCTGACTGTACCTAGAACAGGTGCAACTGCAACCACAAAAGCCAACAATGCAGCACTGGCTGCTTCTGAACCCAATTCCTTGTACATAAAACTGTGCTTTTTCAAAACCAATCACATGCAGGTGTTTAATCCAAGCCATTGGCACTGAGATTTGTTTCATATGCTGTGTTAAAACCCAACACAGTGGCATTCTCCAGAAGTTACTGCTGTGTTGCACAAATGAAGCAATGGAGAAAACCAGAGTAATATTTTCCCCTCTCAGTGCAAAGGCAAATAGAAACAAAAGTGAAAGCAACCAGTCAAGGCAAGAGTAATTAACTTGTTAAAAGGATCCATGCTYCACTAATCTGGCTGAATAAGAAAAGAATGTTTTTGWGAGGTAAGGAAGSACACAACTGCAAAYGTCTGATTTAAAGCTGAASAAGCCAAGGCTTTTCAAAGCTGAGGCTGGTCACTTTATCACTGGGCTGACTTGGTTTGCTACAACATGCAAAGCATAAAGGTCACAAAATTAGGACTACCAGTAGTAAGCCACACACCACAAAGCAAACAAAAGGCAATTGTCCAAGCTTGATGCTACGTTACATACACTGTTGGCTTAAATCCATAACATTTTTAATTAACTCGTTCATTTGAAAAAATAAAATGGAGACTCATGCAAGACAGGCAACTTTTTCAGTCCTCTGCAGCCTGACTTGCATGTAGGCTCTGCCCTTACTACTGGAGTCAGCCAGCAGAGACTGCCACAAAGAGAAACAGAGCAACTCTGTGAGCCTAGAAGTTGAGATGGCTAAAAGGAAGACCAGTCAATTTTAGAGCTGTTAAGAATCCTGTTGTTAGTAAAAGGAGTATTTCCAGTGAATTTAATTAGGCATATATTTATCCACATGAAAACATATGATGCAGACAAGAAAAGTCCAAGGAAAAAAACCCCAAACGCATGAGGTACTCCTAAAATTTCCAGGGCTGGGATGAGGAAACAACATACAACACAAACACCAAAAACCACCTCAAAACCAAAACAAAACAGAAAAATCAAATTTTGTGTCTTACCTTACACCGATAAAACAGCCTTGCATCTTCCCTAATATCACCTTTCACGTGCTTATCTAAAGCACGACAAAGCTTCAGTAACTGTTGCTAAATAAAGACAAAAATGTACAGCTATTAAATCCTCCATGTCGAAACTATAGGGTTTACTCATATATATCCATTAAAAATTACATGCTTCCGTTTGAATTCTTCTCAGAAACACACAGTAAAGACAGGGAGACAAAAGAAAACAAGATCACAAGATCCTCTATCTGTTGCTGGCATGCTCCTGGTAAACCAGATCTTAGAATTTTTAAAAGCAGCTTCAAAATACAGCAGAGCTTTACAACACAAATTCTAAAGTTCCTACTATTTAATTTGCAAATTCTTTCTGCCCCCAAAATAGTGAACACAGTACAGTGCCATTCACATCTTTTATCAGCAAAAAAAGTTCTGAAGCTACAATAGCTAAAAATACCCTTTTCAGTAATGATGATTCAGGTAATTTCTTTTGTAGGAATTGGCTGAGCAGGTAAAATATAACCAAGGTTTATGCGCTGATCTTTTATTTMTCTCTAAATTTCTGATTACTTTAATAAAGCAGTTTTGCACTTCATGATCTCCTGATAATGATTCCCAAGGTCTTTCACATTCTATTAATTTCTTCATAAAATTCCTGTTTTCAATCTCTCACTTAACAGCTGCCAAGAGGCTCCGCTCTGCAGAACAGGTGAGACATGCTGAAATTCTATTTATAAACATTTGCTGGTGTCTCAAGGCCACCACAATTTATCCCCCTCTAACTGGAAGAGGGCCAGAAGTTAAATAATCAGATTGATTTTACATGAGTCTAGCCTGCACWATCTTCAGCCACACCCCTCTTGCCACTGGATGGCTAAAAGGTCAGAGAATAATACAATCTTTCTTCATTGAGAAATTGAGACATTAAAARAAATAATTGAAAATACCAAATTCTCCACAAATCTAAGTAGTACATTGAGATACTTAAGCCTCCATATGCAACCAAATATTACTGCTTTGTGTCTCTCAAACAGGTCATGACAGATTTCTTAAAAGCCAAGAGTGATTCCACAGAGCAGCAGSTTTACACAAACACCTTGCAGAAAGCAATTCCCAGTAAATGATCACAGAAATCTGAACAGGAATATTGAAAGGCTAAGCAGAAGGTATTACTTAGCAGATGTTCACATCACATGGCACAAAGGAACAATCACTACAGAGAAAAGCTACAGCCCTTGCTTTCACTTGCTCCATCCCAGCACAGGAAACTGTAACGTGCTTGAAAATATTTTACTGGATATTTTTAAAGTGGTTTTCTCCCAGAYAGAAAAATTTCAATCCTACTTCCAAAGTTGATAAGATTATTTGACTTAGAATTTCTGTGTTGAGTTAATCTCCAGATACTCTCTGAGAAAGATTAACACAACAAATGCCTGCTCATCCACAGCCTTATGTTTGGAAGAAGCTCTGTTTGCAGAAACACAGAAGAAAGGTTTCCTTTCTCTGCAGTAAACACACTCTTCTGCATTTACCTTGCCCCAGAACAAAAGTTTCTCCCAGTACTATTATGCTCTGGTGATCTTCTATCACATATCTCCTACCAAAACAAACTGAGTGTGCAYGATAAACAATATTTTAAAATCTAAAGGTCTAACCACTGAAGTTACTCACCCTTTGATTAGAATTTACAACATCAAGGAAACTGGCTTCACTGACTAGATGAAGGAGGACGTAGATTAGGTAATATACCTGGAGAGAAATCAAAAGAGCTTTAGCAGTCAAAGCACCATTATAACTCCTCACATTTAGAAACAGCACTCTCTGCTTTCCGGAACGAATCCTCACAACAGGCAGGTCAATGGACAAGTATACCAATGTATCTGCCTAAATAACTATCTTGAAACAGTATATTCATGTATTAGAAACATTGTAAAACAGTATTACACTGTTTTACCTAACTGAACCAACCCATAAAAACTTCTGTGGTTTTAATAACTGAAACTTATRTTCAGCAGTTAGCTCTATTTTCCCATCATCTGCCTCCAGATCAAATCACTTGCTGAGAGATTCCATGRTAACCACTCAAATAACCAAACCAATATTCAATTTTTTGCATGGAYGGAAATACTACATTTTTCTAACACTTGTTTATGAGAAGAGATTAATAAAGGATTCATAAATCTTTTTCTGAAGCCTGCAGGTGAAGGTTTGGCTCAGCACCAAACAGTTTTTACTGATTACATCAGAAGGGAGGGAAGATCATCCTCTAATTACAGAAGTTGGAACTCAAGACATCCCCATGACTCATAAAATCTGACCATTTCCCTGTTTGTAAAACAGCCCCATACAGGCTCCTTCACCACGTGCTATTTTTTCCTTCCTCCATGACTATAGCCAAAATACTATTTTAAAGATGAACAGTAACAAAACAGTGTATTCACAGCTCACATACAGAAATGTCCATTGTTAAAAAGTAAAAGAAACATTCTCCAAATTGCATAAAATATATAATATTTAAAATATATAAAAGATGCATAAAAAACAAAAGCAAGAAAGCACTATTAGCTATATACCTCATGTTCTAGTTCTGCATGGTTTCCATCAACTTTCTGCTCCTTCAGTTCTTCTCTCATCTTCCTCAGTAGATAAGAAGGTTTCATACACACCAGAAAGTCATGCAGAAGAAACATCTACAGATACAAACATTGACAAATTGGACTAATTTACTGACAACAGAAAATTGGAAACCGAGTGCCACTTCAGTATTAGTTGCCATTAAGACAAGAACAGGAAAGGGATTTTTAATTAAAAAAARGAAGTTTTCATGCTTTGGGTGGTTTTGGTCTATTCACAGACTTAAGTGCTTGTACATTGCCTCAGCAAAAGATCTAACSTAGGAAAACAGTGTGTCTCCACATGAATACAAAAGGAAGACTCAAGGAAGTGTAGACCTCTTTCCAATGTCCAAAATTAATGTTTAGGCACATAAACAAGCACAAGCTGCAGAACATACAGATTACACATGGGCAAATACACTTTTAACACTAATCTRAACAGAAAATTATTTTGCATAGTCATTTTGCAAGGTTCTTGAAAACAGGCTTACAGTATTAAAACATAAAACAAAAATGTACATGTTTTCTAAATTTCCAAATTATACAAAGACAACTCATTTACACAGTACCTGCTTGTCACARTCATCAGGTATTTCTACATCCTTTTTATGTAGAAGTTTTGCAATTATCACTAGGCTAAGACGTCTTCTTACTTCCCTGAAAAAAAATACAAAAAATAATTTCCCATAGAATTTCTCAAATCCACACTGTTTCTACAAARTATGTGAGGCTATACCTGGCTTCCCTAGACATAAACTTGCTTGCAACTATTAAATGGGATTTTCTGAATATAGTTCCTGTATAAACCAGTAAGGAGGCTAGTAAAGCAGAAGTACCCTTAATCTCATTGCAGCACAGCTTCTGCACAAGTAAACAATGCTAGATAYTTGTCTCCAAGCCTGAAGTTAATGACCCAAATAACTCTCCTTGYCCAGTTACATTATAATTACTTAATTTTAAAGATACAGACCTCAGAATGATGTTTAGAAACAGACATAGATCACCCATGGAAAATTCAAATTTTGGCCATTCAGGTGAGAATTAGAGTAAGTGATGCATCTCAGAACCTAAGCTAAGCCTTTCTTTGCTATAGGGTACCAAGAATCCACAGCCCAGGAGCTACATAAAAGATTCAACAACCCTTTTTCACAGCAGAGGTGATCAGGAAGCTACACATGCATACTGAGAATTGCATATACATTTGTAACTTAAAAAAAAAAAGCATTTGTGTTTTCTCTAAGTGCCATATAATAAGCATTATTTTTTTTTCAGACTTTGAGCTTATACAAATAAACCAGCTGTAAATGACCCYTGTATTTCTGACATTACAGTGTCATTACCGTCCACGCTCGATCCAGCTGGGCACGAGCTGCACGAGCCACAGGAGGTTATGGTGGTTACTGGAGAGCTCACTCACTGCCAGGCACAGCTCAGGCATCTTGAAAAGAACAACAAAACATCCTGATACTAAACAACAGCTGTTTGMTTTATTTGCAAAGGAGCACACATCGACTCCATAGAAACACAGGCAGCACAAGCGATCAAAGGAACTGATCTAACAAGAGATGAGGTGAACAGTGAGATTTCTGCATTGCACCTGAAGGTGAATCTGCTAAATACTAYTTATAGTAGGGTAGTCGAGATCAGAATGTTTTTAATGACATCTAACCAGCATAGTGCAATAATTTCTTCATTCTTTCAGATTGCCATTTTAAACATACACCTATTTTAGCACACTTAAGATAAACTCTTGTGGAGAAGGGACAGGTAGGCTCAATGTCATGCAACAAAAACCCTCTCAGTATACCCACCCACTCCCTAAATTTCACACAAACCCAAATCTGAATTTTTCTTATTATTATACATACTATTACTGAAAATTTTGTATTACATTTTCAGCCAGTACTTTTCTGRCATGTCAAGAAAGAAAAAAATCCTTCAAAACAGAAGCTGCAGTTTCACAATTCCAGTACAATAAATTTATGAAGTTACCTTTGTATCCCAGCATTTTATATTCATCAGAAGCTTTACAAAAAGGCACTGAAAATCTATCAGAGGAACTTGTTTTAAATGTTTCTCCAAGCTTATTTTAAATAGCAATAAAAGCAGCAGCCATATTTCTTGATCAGTATATCCATCTTGAATTACCGACGTACAGAAACCTAGAAACTTCAAAAGAAATACAAAGCATTAAAATTTGGAATTGTTTTAGCTTATTTTGAAGCATGATAAGAAATCAAGTTTTCCACATTCATATTAAAATGTGCCTCAAATRATGTACAGTTTTGGCAACAGTTGTGTATTGACATGTCCCCATCTCCCAGTCAGAGCACCCTTTTTTTTTAATACCTGCTGGACACTCATTTTTTGAGCAATGGMAAAATTCCCCAGACACTACCAGAGCAGGAAAGATCTTTCTCCACTACACAGTTAATCCATAATTGAAGGAAAGGCCAAAAGATTTTCTAAAACACCACTAACATGGAAAACTTAAATCAATGGATAATTTCTTCTACATGAGGGAGCCAAGATGTTCAAYAAAGTGCCACATCTGGAAAAGGGAAGCAACAAAACTCTGCAGTTGTGAGTGAAGCCAATGGAAGTCAAGAAACTGAGATTTGCAACACRCCTGCAATAAACTCTGCTGAATGTGAAGCTGAAGCCTCAGGATAGCATCTACTCAAACACATGCTCAGGACTAGATTGCAAACCCTATCCTCCCTCTCAAAAGAAAACATACACCAAAAAAGAAGCCCAACCCACAAAAACATTGGAGTTTTCTCACCTTAATCACATTAATTAAATTGTTTTGAAGTAGACTGGGGAAAGCTGGACTGGCAGAGACTACATCTCCTTTTGGCTGTTGACTCACTGTTTCTTGCACCTGACTTCTGATAGAASAAACACAGTCTGAGCAATAAACGAACAATTTAAAAGCCCACAAAGGCTTATTGACATCAAACTGAAGAAAAAAAAAACCCAAACCCTGAATGTTTCAAAATGCCTTCAAATCAAAACAATCCTCAGTTACAGTACATCTAAAACACACATCTAACTCAACTTGTAGGCAATTATTTTGACCAGCTATTTAGCCAATATTCCTGCAAACCTTCATTAGGATGATGCAGGACAAAGGATAATGCTCTGGTTTGCTGAATACTTGCTACAAGGTATTGTTTGAAGTTGAGGGTTATTTATTCTTACTAAGACCTGAGCTGAGAACTTAAAGAGTATGGGAAGGGAAATAAAGAAGAACCTGATTCTAAATTCCAAGTACAAGACTTGTTTTCACAGGATCTAGGCAATAAATATCAAAAGGGAAACACTTACAAAATATCATGCTCATTGAAGGCRGGCTGAAGATGTTGCAATAGAAAGAGAGATCTGAACCCAATACCCATATTGACAAAAACAGCTGTTAGATCAGCTATTGAAGGAATCCATGGYTTGAACTGTTCATCACTGATGGAAGCTACAAATAAAAGACATGGAGTGGATTAGTTTAAATTTAGTTCTTAGCATTAGTTCCTTTTAAAGGAAACAAACAAGCTCGGCAGCATCAATCCTACCAGCTCTCGTCTCAAAGTCAGTACATTGAACAATAAGCTTGTTTTCAGAACAAGGAGGGAAAGAAAAAAGTATAACACAGGACTTTACACTAGGGCAACATCTTGCCTAGGCAACAGSTCGATTACTTTCAAGTTCCACCCATTTTCTGTCAYAGCTCTCTTTCATCACAAAGAGCARAAGAAGCAACAAGGCAATATTTACATCTAACAGAACAAATTATTGCCTGTGTAGATAATGGTAAGAGGGTGTTATCAGAGTGAGACTGCAAGTRGAGCTAAGCAAGATTTGAAAACAGGCAAGGTTTCTGGAACAGAAGTGCTAAACAAGGAACTCCCAGCCTTAATGRGTTTGAATGCTCATTCATTATCTTGAACTGCTCATTCAGAATCAAGCCTAATGCCAGCAAGGCACAAAATAAAGGAGGCTACATTCCYTCTCAKATCAGCTCACAGTCTGATTTCAAMAATAATTAAAATGTGGGGTAYTATTTGGACAGGCCCRAGCAAATACTTCAAGAGAACCACATTACTTTAACAATGTTAACCTGTAGCCTTAAAAGAATGTCACTTTTGATGGATCTGAATGAAGCCACGGGGAACATACAAAGGAACTTGYAGCGGAGAAATATTTGAGAGTACAGACAAAGGAAGGCAAAACACACAAGACATTAGCAGCACCGTGGGCTGAAGCAGATCCTTCAAAGTGTTTCTGTGCAGGTGTATGATTCACTTCCCTTTTGTCATATATCTGGAAAGTAAATCATGAAGTGCTACACACTGGGTATGACAAYGTGAAAAACATCTTGTAGTCCTTGAGCTACAAATGTCTGCATCATCCAAAGGAAAAGAGGGAAAGCAGAGCAAACTTTTGAGCAGACTGGGCTTCTCTTTGTGAAGTACCAGAGTGCTCTGTGTTGGATGCACTGCTCTGCAGGTACGTGCCAGGACCACATACTGTGGTACAGGTTGCACACACTCAGTGAAGACCAACCCCAGCATTTTTGCATTATAGAAGGAAAGAGACTAAATTCATGCCAAAATCAGCCTTTTACTTCCTCACTAATACTTCTCTAAACTGAAGAGAGGAGAAATGCTTTCATTCAGATAGTCAGTTTTCCATCCTTCAAATACTTACAGTTCTTTAGTGTTATCTCCATCAATCTGTCTAAGATCTGGGTGGAAACACAATAGTCAGGATGAAYAGACATCATCTGTGAAGAGAGAAGAAGCTACACATCAAAACCCAAGCTGCATGACAGCATTAGTTTCCTTTTAATTAGAAAGAAAACCCACACCAAACCAGAACAAAAACAACACCAAACTTCTTAGCAGAATAAAATGAGTAACAGATTAAAAAACAAACAAACAAAAATCAACCCCAAAGCCTCCAAAGCAAGGTACACCAAAGAGAACAAAACACTGTGAATATTATTTCAAGCAGTGCAAAGATGACACGAGTACTTTTAAATGAATTATTTACAGTATCAGACTGCTGTAACCCCAACATTTATAAATCTTGGTTTATAAAAAAAATTCTGAGGGTTAAGAAAATGGAAAGTATCACATACCCCTTTGGAACTCATTTGCATCTGTGATCAAACTGAGCTCCCTGAGCAGAAGTGGAGGCAACAGAGTTAACTACACCCCTTTCCAGTCACAGGGAAGTTGGATATATGCARTRCTAAACTCAAACAATGAGTTCTTAYATTTTCACATAACTCTTAACTACAAAATCATGACTAAGTACAGTTCAAGTTTCTTGGAGCACTTCACTGGCCCAACAAAAACTTCTTTTTCTCCCCCAAGTGCCAGATAGTTTCCTGTAAGTGATCAGAATTGGCTCACACTTCTTCCTTATACTAGAGGAACACCAGAGCCCACAGAAAAGGGAAGGCAATTTTTTACTGTCTGGAGGGAAGGACATGGAAGAGGCAAAATGTTTAGCTTTTTGCAAACGTAGAAAGCCAGTCAATAGACCAAGGCTGCAATTTCACAGGTGGTTGAGCTTTCTTCTTTGTTTCAGGTACAGTTAAAATGTGGCAAATACTAACAGAATGGATACTGGAGAGGGGCATTTTTGTGAGTAACAACACCATACAAATTCCTGGGGATTCAGACACTGACACAGATCTTGAAAGGAGACAGTCACTACACTTCCTTTGAGAATGGATCCAGGCTTCTTCCTAAGCCATAATGTACCTTTTCCAAATGAAAATTATCTGATAATGCTGGTACCGTTGATGATTTAGAAGATGATAAATGTAGAAAATAGTACTTTTGCATACTGCAGCATGTATTATTTTTCTAAGGGTAAGAGGAAGTGAGACTAGCATTTGCTCATGATTTGGCCCACAGTATCTCTCCTCACCTACTGTGTCCTTTTTCAATGCAGTAGTGCATATGAAGATGGACAAGAACATGCAGCTTTGAATTCACTCAAGAGTGTGGAGAAAAGGCTCTTTACTCTTTTACCCCTAATGACAACCAAAGTATTTCAGACTGAAGAACAAACCAGAACGCAGAATCAATTTTTTTAAAAATCTTGATTTAAAAGTTGTTAACCTAATGGAACAGATTATTCCTGCTTCAACTGGCTTCCAGGAAAAATATACATGCACAGTGTTATTATAACTGCCTGAATAGCACAGACTTACCTGGAAAAGCCACTTCAGAATTGGTATGGGACATAATATACAACTGTAAGCTGAACTCAGAAAACCATTAACAGCTAAAGAAAGCTGTTGTGTTACACTAGAACTGTAAGAGAAGAATGGGGGCAAGGAAAGAGGATAAAAATCAATTAGTGGTTGAGTCATCACTTTCACAAAAACTTTCACATAAGAACTTCCTCACCTCTCAGGTCATCATAAACAAAGATCTGAATATGCAAAACAGATGTTATTCTAACGCTATTACTTATCTAAAATGCCATAGTAATTAAATATTGTTTTTTTAATAGCAATCAAATTTACAAATGTCATTTAGAACAATCTCTCTCTCCAGAAAGCCATACTATACAGTTTGGAAACTGTTGYATTATTATGAAAGAATAGTTTCAAACAAACATTGATTTACACTATTGTACTCTGAACCACTAGGCCTGACTACACACTAGGCTACTATGCTCAGTGAGACTATTAAATAAGATTTTTAACTTCCCAATGACCTTTACCAACACTTTTAAAACAAGAAAGAAAAACTATTGCTTTCAAATTTTTTAAAATACCATTTTAAATAAGGGGTCTGGAGGCAAACTAACATAATTAAAATCCCACAGCCTAATCTCACTGTGCAAATTTGGGGGGTGCAAACAGTAGCTGTTGGGAGGACAGACTGTGCCATTGCTGTTACTGAAGTATGTCAGTTTTAGTCACTGGGATGAGCTCAGCTGATAATGCCAATATCATGGGTTCAAATCCTGCATGGAACATTCATTTAAGAGTTGGACTTGGTCTTTGTGGGTCCCTTCCCTTCTTCAGATTCTTCTTCAGAAAGTTAGGGATGTCTTAGGCAGCTGAATTAAAGACATTCAGTTTCCCACATATCCTTCTTTAGTCTCCTCTATTCCCTCTATCTGCTAAACCAGGTAACTCTGTGTCCTCATTCCTGCATATACCCTCTACTTGTCTGACCAGTGAGGCCTCCGTGTGCCAACTGGGCAGCCAGTACATGCCAGCTGTGCCAACTGGACAGAATGCAAAAGCAATTAAATCATAACTGCCTTCTGCAAGGGATGATTAGTTTAATTCTCATTCCTCCAGTCACTGATTTACAAGATGCTTTTGAAGCTCATATCCTTGTGATCTCCAAAACATATTAATAGAAAGGCCTGAAGCCAAAGGAGTGTATCACAAACACCACTTCCTCAAGAGATGAAAAGTCACTCTCCTCCTCTTCACACCCACAATTGCACATACACATGTATATAAAATCATTTAAGATAACTGAATTCTCTCAGTCCTTCTGATGTATGTTTGGAATAAAATACCAACTGAAATAACCAGAAATTTTCAGGATTTACACTTGTGGCATTAGGCAAGAATTTGTCCAGCTATTTGTAATCCGACAGCCTCACAAATACAGGGCAGAAATGCCTGTGAGTTACAGAGCAGTTGTTTATGTACACACAGTCATACTGGTGGCTCAGTGACTGAGTTGAGCAGATGTCAGAGATCCCGACTCTGCAATCCTCATTAGATGGAGCCTCAAGTCCCAGGCACATCCAGGAGGGAAGCAGGGAAAGTCTTTCAGCAGACATAATGTAACACTAGAAGGTCACAAATAGGTAACCACAAAGCTCTTCTTTCCGTCTGGGGATAGTTAAGCTTGTGYTCATTRTAACATTTCAGTTCTGCATTTGTCTTCCACAAACTAGTCAGGTTATCAACAATAGCCCAGTGTGGTAGAAAAAGGAATAGGTCAGAGCAGCTGTTTTTGTCTCATTTRAGAGGTTTTTCAAGAATTCCAGAAGAGGAAACAAGGAAGCTTCAAGTTACAATTCACTGTTCTGTAGAACTAATCCAGAAAGGAAAATTCYAGGGAAAGGGAGTCAGTCTTGCCTGCTTACTAAGACAGGGCTCATTTGCACGCAAAGATAAAATAGTATCTTAAAACTGTTAAAAAGAAAAAGAAAATTTTAAAGTAAACAAAACAAAATGAAAAGGTTTTTCTTACTTAAGAAGCAGATTTTCTATAGGATTTTGAGGGATGAACTGAAAATTCCTCAAGTCAAGGTTATGTTGAGTGAAGATTTTCCCAGAGGCTGATAAATCAAATATGTCTTCTCCAGGGTGGTTGTCAGGTATGACATAAGCTACTACTGAAAATCTCTTTATAAACGCCCTGTAAAATTCAAAATTGCTTTTATCAATTCAAAMACTGAGAAGCTGCTTGAGACAGTTATTTGCAGGTGATGAATACATCAATCTTACGTGAAAGTTGAATTGTTAGAATACAGGAGCACCCAAGGAAATTCACCCAGTTCCAAGAGATTTAAAAATGGTCCTCATTACACATATTAACAAATGTTGAAAACAGAGGTTAGAGGAAAAAAAGGCTCAAAAAGCAAAGAACAAGATTTAATTGGTTTTGGAGTTGCAAGGACCTTTGTTCTTCCGAGAGATCCCCATTGGCATTGTCCTCATTTTCTCCATCTGAAGCRTTGTCCTCTCTTTCTATGTCTTCCTGTAACTGTTCTGCTATTTCCTCTAACCTGAAATAAGAGCAGCAGCAGAGCATATCATCAYCATTCAGTATTTACAACAGAAACAACAAAACCCAAGCTCTGAATGTGAACCCTGGAGTCAGCAGCCAGTTACACAAGGCAGAAAAGCGAGACATTGCATTTGTGTAAAATCCAAGCATCTTGCCATTCCAAGATACAAAGTGAATGTTTCCCAAAATCKAATGACTTTCCAACAGCACAATCGATCAGTGGTTTGTCAGACATGAATACACTCAACCAGCTTCTGATTAAGTTTTTGTAATTGCACAAAACTTTCAATCTTGTAGCTGAAAATTTATGTTTTTTCTAAAATAAACAAGCATTTGCTAWACAGTATCAGTTGTAGGAGTATCTGCTACTCCATGGGCAGTCAGCCCAKAGTTACCAGGGTCAGATTCTTTAATTAAAACAGCGAATCACACTCACATACCCATCACCACCATTTGCCATTAAYACATAAACCACATTTCACTTCCTACCCAAAAGATCTCTTGTAAGARCATTCATTAGCTCTGTTCACTGACCTGTGTAATGACTCAGACACCAATAGCCTRCACAACTTTGGGAACCATAACTGAGCTACAAATGCCTTTGAAAARACTAGTACAGTCAGTCTACATAAATATTTCTATTTCATGCCYGACCAGCAGCTGCTAGCTGGCTCAGTGACCTAAAACGAAGGCATCAGTAAATTTAGCCTGGCTCTTCAGGGGTAAACAGATGTATCACAAATCACTCTTTATTGCTTGGAAGGAGCCTGTCATTCAGCTTTTACAGTTTAAGCCATACTTGTACGTACTGCCAGTTGYATGTTGGTGGCACATCAGCAGGCAAAGCTTAGCTTGCTGCTAATCAAACTCCATCAGTTTTGGGGAGATAAAGCAAATCTAAGCTTCTACCACACCATTCCACATTTTTCAAACCAGCTTTGAGAAACAAACCTTCTAGATTCTTCATTCTCCTTCAAGAGATGATCTAAACTGTTCACATATGACACCTTGCTCATAACAGGACTCYTAGAAAGCTGTAAAAGAAATAGTAAGAAATTGAAAAAATACTGCAAGTCATCAATTCATTATWAGACAATAAACAATCTAAATAGAAACCTCTTCCAATTTTAATAGTATTTTACACACAGATAAAAACCCAAAGAAGATCCTGCAAAACAGTATGATTAACGGTTTAGTTTTCTCAGTCCCTTGACAATTTTACATAATCGTCAAATCTCAGTAACTAATCTAAAAATTATTGTGCTTCACAATGGATCTGAACAGTGAAGGAAGTCTCTGCATCTCTAGGGCTGACCTTCAGCTAACCTCCACAAAGTGCATTGGCATCACGAGCCTTTTACCACACAACTTCATTATTATTATTATTATTATTATCATCATCATCATCCACTAAGACCCTGGGAATCTCCATTCATGTGCATGAGACAAGAAACTCCAAAAACTACTCAGTACCTTTTTTTTACTTTCAAAATCCCTAGAGGGCAAAATTCCAATGTTCGCTAAATCACCTCTAAATTCATCAGACAAAACAAAGCTTCCAATCAAAATCCCAACACAAATCCAAATCAAGGAGCTAATAGAATTAAAAAAAAAAAAAACCCACACAAACAAACAACACAGAAAATTAGTAAATTTTGTTAGTGGCTTGCTTTTCAGTAGCCATCCTTTTATTTAGGTTATAGCAGACAACAGATTTGAAATCTTTTATGGCTGTGATTGCATCCTTTGGACAAGCAYAGCCTTTCTGACATCACCCTGCTATTCATTTACCTTTTAAATGTAAAAMGCAGCATGTCTTTGTGTAAGAAATCTTGTAGGAAAGCTGAAGACTTCTTAGCTAATTTTATATTTGGTTAATATGTGTGAAGTAACAGTTGAACAACTGAGGAATCAAAACTTTATTCCAATGTGCACACATGCCCCTTCTTACAAGAGAAGAACATCAGAGTATATGCAAAAACAGTGGTCATGGAAATTTTGGGACAGTTCTTAACCGTTTTGTCTTACTTGGCCTTTCATTTATACCAGGAACAGGCCAGACCAAATGCTGTGGTCACACACATGTCCCACTAGCATTTGATCTAGGCTGCATGTGTTTATCAGGCTTAACCAGTAATTAGGTAGCTATGTTGGCTGAGATTGTGAAATGCACAYGTAACCACACAAGTCTGATCTATAACACCCTTGATTATAGAATCATAAGGACAGATTACATAATTACAGCTCCTTAGCATCTGTCCATGGAGATAATAACTCAGTCAACAAATTAACCCTACCACTGATTGAAAAACATAAGGAGAGGGGAGGTAGAAGAGAGAAATTATACAGGTATTCTGCTGTTTGTTTTCCACTGCAGAAACTAGTGATGGGCCAACAGTCAAGCATGACACAGCTTGGTCATTTCCCCAGCCAATGGTGCAAGGCACCGAATAAGCAAAGCAAAGGCAAGAGAATTAATGGGTCAAGATAACAGTTCAGTAAGGGAAAAGGGATAATGAAACAAAAGTGATTCAGAGAGAGTCACTTAACACTTTTCACAAGCAGAAGGATGCCCAGCCAGACCCTGAGCAACAGCTACATGCCCGAACAACACCCTCACTTGGTTTTAATTGCTGAGCATGACATTATGTGGCTGGAATATATATCCCTTTGGTCATCTGGGGTCYGCTCCCCGGGCTCTGATCCCTCCCAACTTTTTGTCTGCTCTGTGGGGGCACCACAGGAAGAAGAGAAAGCCCTGATGCTGTGCAAATACTGCTCCATAACAGGTAGAAGACTGGTCTCTTATCAACACTGTTTTTGTCTGAAACACATAGCACCATACAGCTGTCATAAAGAAAATTCATTCCAACCCAGCCAGGCTAAGTACAAAATGTCTTTGTTTAAATGCATCCATTTCCAACCTGTACCAACTGTTAGGAATACCACACTAAGACCTATTGCAGGACCTTCTCCATTAAAACATTATTTTATAATAAAACTTAAAAATCACTACTTATTTGACAARCTCTTATTAAACAAATGAGCTAATTTTTAAAAACACAGACCAATTCATCACCACAATATCCTGTACACAGGATACAAACATGTCATYTATCCCTCGTGATCAGAATTCATTGAGCTTTTTGAAATCCCAAAATACTTCAAATTTCCAAGAAATACAACCTCAAAGAAAACATCACACTCGTATGGCAATCACAGACTGTGTCAARGATATATGACTAGAGCCTAGCACACAGATCTCTGAATGTCCACATCAATTTCCTCCAGTAAACTTCGGCTCACAAAAATATTACCTGACTAGGAACACAAAAACATTCAACTACACGCATCCTCTAAATGTAACCGGCTAACTTTAAAACCAGAACTCCTAAAAACCACCAAAGGCATACAGCTAAATAAATCTGCCTGTACAAACCATCTTTCAGCCCTTCCCAGGACAAGCACAGTAACAAGCACATTCCCACTCCATCTACATTGTAACTGTACAGCAGCACAGGACCCTTAAGCCAAGTAGCCARTTTTGTACGCCAATAATTCTGAATTATCATGCATTATGAATAAGGGAGAAAATTATATTAAAATACAACATAACAAAGCTGATTATCTGCTATCTCATTACACTCTGCTGTAGCTTTAATGAGAATCAGCAAGAGGTGGCTGAGTGTTAGTGCAGAATACATTTTTGACTAAAATTAATGTAAAGCAGCTATTACCAATCAGTCTCACATACCAACTGTTGTTAGCAAGGGGTTCTAYTGGCACCACTTAGACAAAAACTTGACTGAGTCTTAAGTTTACTCAACTTTTGTAGAAGACACAGACAGTTATGRCTTGTACCTTGTGTGGTAGTGGAATAGGTACTAGAAGACTACTGGACAACTCAGCAGCCAGAGCAATTTGTTATTTGTTTATGAAACAGAGCTACACAGCAGAAATTAGTTCTCTAGAACACCTGAACAAGCTGCTGTCTGTATGTGCCAGATGGAACAGGTAAGGTTGGAGGCAATTTGATTTTTGAATATGAGATTTCTTCATTCACGAGGGCCTCTGCCTGCGTTTTGGTGGATACCTACTAGATAAAATTTCATTCTCCTAGAATTKAATAATTTAGCACCCAACTAGACCTTGCACTGTGCTAAAATCTGTATTATTTTTCTTGCAAATAACAATCATAAAAGAATACTTGAAAGAACTTCTTTTTTTGGTTTTTAGCCACTTACATGAAGCTTCAGTAATGGAGTCAAAGCGTCCTGAGAAAAACTGTCCTCAGAGTCTTCTGGGGCTCTTGCCTGTGGTTTGAGATTTGAACTGAATATTTTTTGCAGTGGCATTAATACTTCTTCTTCTTCATCRTCATCTAGAATGGATTCCAAAATGTCATCTTCACTATCAGAGCTGCTTTGTGATTTTCTGTTCAGCTTGGACTTGCCCGTAGAGTTCATTTTAACTTCTAGCTCTCCTGAGGTTTGTGAAGACTCGTGGCTGCAGTCYATGTAAGAGTTTTCCAAAGGCAATGAAGGGGGAACACTTTTACCAATCTCTGGGGAGAGTTCAGGCTTTCCACACATTTCCATTCTACAAGAATCAGGAGCATTTTCGGAAACCTTGTGGTTTGTACTTGAAAAACTGTTGCTGGGTTGAATACTGTATCCTTTATTCCGTTCATGTCTTTCTGGTCTTTTATCTTGYTCTTTCTTAATATCCAATACCTGAGAAAAGCCAGCAACCTGGAGAGGGGATTTCATGCCTTTTGTTTGTGTTAAGTGGTGGGGAGAAGGCAACACAGTACTTTTTTCCTGAGAGAAAGGAAGGGACTTTTCCAAGAAAAAGCATGAGTTAGCCAGCTGCAATTGATTCTCTTTGGTATCCACAACAGAAATGTGGTTATTTTTAGCAGGACTGTGTGCAGAATATGAAGGTGACAAACYTACAGTGGAATAATTATTTTTCTCCTTTTCATTGCTTGAGTTGAGGAGTTCCTCTGAAAGAGTCAAATCATGTCTAGATAGGGCAGCAGGATCCTTGAGCTGCAGAACATCATCATGAGGAGACTTTAAAAAGACATTTTTTACRAAGTCAGACCTCCTATTTTTGCATTTTGAAGATAATCTACTAAAGGCAGGATCATTCACTTCAGACTGATCTGAACTATCTCCATCCACACTCATGGCAGTGTGTTTTCTTTTCACAGGAGAGTCTCTTGGCTTGGATAGCCCCAAGGACATCTTAAGGAAGTGTGAAGGAACAGCTGGGCTTTTTGGTGCACCAGAGGCCATCTCAGATGATGTTCTAAATGCATGTGGAGATGATGTCTCATGTTCTAAAAGCTGTGTTAGCTTTGGCTGAGATGGGTCATCTGTGAAGTGTTGGAGACAAAAATAAAACACTGTTATTATGATTAAAATATAAAATAAAAATAGCAATAATAATATTTCTAAAAAGAAAACGTGTAATAGTTTTCCTTTTAAAAAACTAACTTGCTTTTAATTCAAATAGGACTAGAGCAGTGAAGTCTGATGAGTTTCCACAGCTACAGACATTTTTTACATTTTTACAGTTTATCTTCCTACTGACCTACCTCAAGCTTCTATTTGTGAGCTTTATAGATTCAGTTCTATCTCCCACAGAACAAAATTATGGGGTTAAAAGGGGCAAAAAGCAACAAGAATACCAGCTAAACTTTAGTGGTTGCTTCAACAAGAATATTCTTTCTGAATTAAGCAGAAAGGTAAAATTCATTAAACACCACAGAAAATGTGGATTATCCAAAGCACAAGAGAAACCTTAAAAATAATCTGTGATCAAAGTTCTAAGACAATGAAATATCATAAATTCTAATTAAGTTACAATCAATGCGTTTTACACTAAAATCACAAATTACTTTTAAAACTCTTCAAACTTGCCATACATTAGAAATAACATTGACGATACAGCAGTAATTATTATTTTAGTAAGAGAAAAGAACTCTAAGAAAGCCATTAAAAAGAGGSATGAAATKATRAATCTGATAGYTTAATTTTAYATTATGTTTAATTCTATATCATACCTGAGGCAATGTCCCTTGAACMAAAATGTGTTATTTTTCTTACAGAACTTCCCTTTCCCTAAAAATAAAGACAGAGTGAACAGAAGAGTTAATTGCATACTTTTTTTAACCAGGATGTTGATATCTCAAGCCAAGCGTTGAATCCTGCACAGATTTAGTTCCAAACACCCCCAAAAATATGTTAATAGACCTAATTTTAAAATAAAATTTAAACCCAGCTGCAAAGATCTAAAAGAACTCTGCACAACCCAAACTTTTTTTCTTCGAATTGAAAGTGACCTGTAACAAAATACTACATTCTTAACAAGACCACTCCCACCTCTATTTAAATACTGTGGCTTAAATGCATTAAGTCTGAACTGCTATTAACTTCAACTTCCAAATAGCAGAAATTTGCCAGTCTGCTCCTTAAGCTACATTGTAAGAAAATGAGATTTTAAGGCATTTAAGATAAAAGCACCTTTTTCTACAAAATACAATTTCAAGCCACAATTTCTATTGCATTTCCATGCTAGATCTAGGCCAGAATACCTCCCCTGCTTTTAAGACAGGATTTTTCAGTTATTGTAAAAAGATTAAGAACCAACTTAACCAAGYATGAACTAAAACTTGCAAAGGAATAGCAAAAGAACATAAACTCCTGTGACATTTGAAAAAGCACCAAGAATCCAATCCTACAGTGTAAAATTTTTAAAATTTTTTTAAAATTTTCAAATTCATATGCATAATGGATGAGTGATTTCCACCTTTACCAACCCTTTTAAATACACCTGATGCAATACATTTGTTCTTTAGAAGGGCTTTACAGGATGTGGCTTTGATTGTTTCAGTTGCTGTTTGYCCCATTCCCTTTCTCTGCAGAGAGCTTCCAATGACCACTAAATGCAGAATCAGTAGGAGAGCAGGGCAGTGTGGAAACCTGGCTTTGGCACAGATGTGGTGCTTGCAGTGCCACTATTTCCAGCCCAGGCTTTCCAAGTGTCAGCTTCTGGTGCTGAAACCCATTTGTCAGAATCTGAGCTGGAGTCTGAGAGATCCACACAGTCATTTTTTCTCTTCCACATGAGAGTGGTGCTCTCCTTAGACCCAGACATTTCTCATTTCTTCCCTGTTCTGGCTTGGCAGTCTTACTCTTTTTGGCCAAGGAAGCTCCAAGACACTGCAGTAATGATGAATTGATGAATCACAACTTTCGGGTACAATGAACCCAGGGCCCTCACATTCTGACATTTTTTGAAATGTTTATACTGTCTTTTTCCTCCTTTCCAAAAGACACCTACCACAGGACTTGCTTGGTGTTTACTCTGGGATGTTTTTCTGCTGACCTTCTTTGGAGAAGATACGTTCCTTTCAAAACCTTCAGTGCRTAAAATTGACAGTCCCATTCCTTCATCTTTTACATTTCCTTTGTCCGGTGAGGACAGCACAGTGCGGTCTTTATGGCCACGGTCCACGAGAGAAAAGATCAGTTACTCACAAAAGCAACATTGGAATTAAAAAAAAACCAAAACAAAACAAACCTTATTATACTATATTAGTTCGTAATTTCTCTCTCACATGTAAACTAAAATTAATTTATTTAAATCATCCAGTTTTGCTACTGCCATGCAAAGAATCACATGACATATGATGCAGCTTCAGTTGTTACAAACAATCTGACTTAAGCATGAGACATAACTTAAAATAATAATTACAAYACTATTTAAGGAAATTAATTTTAACAGGAAATTGACATTTTCAGTTACATTATTAGAAAATAATTTCAATGTGCTCATTTCCACATATATGGTAAGCTATATTCATTTTGTTGCTGGTCCAATATGGAATRAGACTGAACTATTATTCTGCACATTCATATAATTAAAATTCATATAAACATATTCCATTTAAAAGAAAACATATTTACCTTGATTTAAAACTGGTTTGAAGAACTCTGTAATCATCTGATTTCTGAAGAGAAAACATAACTTTATCTTTTTAGAAGAACAATACCTAAATACCCACACAGTGAACATTGATAYAATACTGTAATTTATTTCTATAGATTTTCTTTAATGCCAGCAACTCTTATTTCTAATAATTTAGAAAAAGCAGTATCATCATTTGAACATTAGAATACAGCAGAATCTATGAACTTAGTATCTTCATCTTCTTTGATACAGTTTGCTAAGGACTTCAAGGCTATACTCAGTGCCTGTTTTGCAAGTGTCTCTTGAAGTTCAAACTTGAGTTCAAGTATTGATGAGAGAACAATTGTTCACGTTGTTGCAAGAACAGMGGAAGTTGGTTCCACATTTTGTTATCTTTCTGTACCTTCCAAGATGAAGTTATATTGTTACTGCCTGTGCAACAGTGATAACCAAGGCAAAACTTACTTACTCCATATTCTAAGCTAACATATTCAAGTATCCATACATGACTGTGGTCCCACTGATTCATTAACGATTTCCGAAGTTTAGGCCAGAAGAACCCACTGCTCACTTGTACAAAATGGATTTGGATTTAATTCTGAATCTTCCTTTAAGCTTGCAACCATCACTTTTGCATTTTCTCACATGGAAAATGTATTTTAGCACCTACAGAAATACAAAAAGCTGTTTATACTTCTCAAATCAAGATACTGGCAAGCAGTGATATTTGAACATGTCGTAACTCAGTGGAAAACCACCTGTAATCAGAATGTATAAGTGCACAAAATTGCATTCTTGGCTTACCAAAGAAAGCAGAGAAACTACTGGTCAAAGACTGGCTGCCTCCAACCTGTCCCAGCTCAATTTGACGTAGGTCAAAATATGAGCATTCTTTCCACATGCTACAGCAACAGCATTAAAGAAATTTTTGACACCCGGCTCTAAATTCAATTAAACAGGTTTACTAGCATAAATCAAGCTGGTGCCTCAAAAAAGGGACCACAAACAGAAATCCCTGGGCAATTACACCCTTAAAATCTGAACTCCCCAACAGCACAGATCAATAGTGATTTTAGCATCTGGCATCATGTCACTCTTTGCTGGTTCACTGTTTTGTTACCCACTGCTGCTCTGGGATCACATTCAAACCCTCTTAGGTTGTTTCAGGATGAATTTCAGTTGGTTCTGAAGTCCATGTTGTCATGTGGTTGTTACTGTTCATGTACCACAATTTATGGGCTGTCCACTCCAGCGATTGATTTTTAAGTAATACGTAAGCTGTTAACATTGTCGTGTCTAACTAGACTGTTAGTTAGAACCTGTTAATGTTCAGGTTGCTAGCTTCAGGTTTTGCTATARTTCATCTTTCACTTACACAAGAGCCATGCAGTTCAAGTAAAGTTCAACTTGTGGCCTAACAACTCTTGCTACTTATGTCACTCAGCTACTTTCAAGTAAGAGAAAATTTTCAGCACACAGGATCCCCACATTTCAGCTCAGCAGAAGAATCAAAGGATTAAATGCAGGTTTATTTACTGTTATTGCTACAGACTGATTTGTTTTTCTGCTCTAGACCTCCTYGCACTCCACCCTGGCCTCACCTGCTCATGGCAAAGCCCTCTCCACCTTGCATTCCTCAGGACACACCCGAGGCTTGCATGGACTGCTCTCAAGCTGCAAAATCATCCAATGCCAACAGCCTTCCACATTGCATATCCTTCCAAACCCTTTCTATTTTCCTAACTAAGTGACTGTACTCCTTTCTTCTCCATTAAAGCTTCATTTGCACATGCAGCACTGCTAGCAGGCCACATCTCATCTGCAGCTACCACCCAGAATTCTCTGCACCTAAATCTTGAAGACAAACTGTGAGAGACTGAAATGTTAAAGCTCATTGACTCAAAACACTATTGCTGAGGCCCAGRTTTGCACCCTCCAACTGAAGTGGAAAAGGAAGGGGTTTTGTGTGTGGTGATGAAACCTCTGATCTGCCTAAGACAGGGTGTACAATCACCGTCATGACAAGGATGACCATGACAAAACAAGCTGGGGGTTGAACCAGGTAAGGGACAAGGCCAGTAAAGCACAGACCCTGTGGAAGTGGGAAAATGCTTTTCATCATCCCAGKGTCCCACCTTACACAACTGGCTCAGGTRTAAAACACCTCCCTGCCCAAAGSGGGGTATTGGGATATTCACACTTAGGCCTGAAGGTCTTTATCCCTTCTGATAAGGCATAATGTGAGAAARCATGATGTGAGAAACAGCGGTCTAAGTYRGGGCCATATACCATCARAGACTCCTGAAGTGCCCCCAGACTCATTTCCGGAGCCTTGCAAAAGACAGTGTTAAATTCACCCTCTCCAAAGGARGTAGCTGRGCATTCCCACCTGAACCTGAACAYYTATTAACCCACTGAACTTATGTTCTGGGGGCTTCTCCCATCTCTGATGGATCAAGACTGCGAGMATCACTTTGACCAGCAGACATCTGAATTGCAACAATCAAGTCTCACCACTGGATCCATGGTGGTGGTATCTTTCCTCTCCACAATCTACTCTTATCACTTCTTCTTTCTTTTCCTTATATTATTTCTTAAGTGGTATTTCTGTATTTTTATWTTGTCATACTACTAGACACAATAGCCAAAATGGCTACAAAGCTCATTTCTAATTGTTCTAAAATAAACCTTATGTGTGTGTGTAAATATAAACATCAGGTATTCAGTGTTCTTTTATTCTAATCTGCCCCTAAGGGATCTAATAAAAAGCCTCAGTTACTATGGCCTTCGGGGGCAGCTTGTAACAAAACCAAAACCAAGGCCTTCTGCCATGTCTGTCCTTGTTTCCATAGCCACTGATTCCAAATGATTGCTAGTGTCCTTCCCATGTTGTTCTATCTTTTTGCTGCCTTTTATAATAAACCCAAGAGCTCTGTAACAAAATTTCTGCTTATTCCATAATTATACAAAACYTTGTAAAACATAACAGAGAATGAAGGCACTTCCCTTCTCACTSAAGTCATATTTGAATGAAGAGACGGTGAGTGATTTGTCTTAGACTATTTGTTTGAAAGTGCTTATCCACCAGTAYTTTCTCCTTTGTATTTTTAACTCTGAGTTTTGGTAGTGCAAGGGYTAGGAACTGTCCAACCAAGATTCTGTATTGTGTCTCAGACAAGAAGTGTACTAAAAACTYCAGACAAAGCTAAGGGCGGGGAAAAAAAGAAAAGAAAGAATGCAACATAGTACAAGGAAGAAGGTGAGAAAGAACTGGGCATTCCAACCTGCTTTTCATATATATGGGAAAGCATAAAGAGAACATGCGACTTTCTATGTGAATGGAGCCATAACTGACACAAACCATTCACTCGAGAATCTCCACCCTTTAGTAGGAGGTTACAGTGTTCCATTCCTTTACTAACATGAAAATTACAGTTGTTTAATACATTGTTATCAACAACTTTGGTTAACAGCTTTGGTTGGCACTTTTCAGCTATATAAATTCAGCAAGACCTTTTAKCCCCAATAAAAATTATCACACCATTTTTGTGAAATCTCAGCTCAACTGAGACACAAAAGAGACCACTAAAAATCCAAAAGCAAATATAAAACCCATAAATACATTATCTCACCTGACAAAAGAAAAAAGCTACACAACCAGGAGTTGAACCTAAGGGACCTTCCAGGCCTTTCAAAATTTCTAAGGATGCAGCCTGCATGGAAGAGGGAAGGAGGAAATACTTTCACTTGCATAAAAAAACAATCCCCTGAGCATTTGGTAAAAGTAGTTAGTGTTTACAGCCATATTASTGGTTATCTCTGGCTGGATAAAAACTATTATTTGAAAAAGCTGTATTGGAAACACTAACAAGACCTCCAAGAAAGCAAATGCCCACAATATACAAATAAACTACAAAAAGCTACAAAACCAAAAGAARCATCTTTGATGAAACAGAGCATCTTGAAAAGCACTGCAGAAAGAACAACGACAAAAAAAAAATCACAACAAACCAACTGAAACAGAAACTCACACAGAAGACRTCAGTCTTACTGACAACTGCAACAAAACCAAAATTACAGTTTGGTTTCACTTTCTTGGGCAAAAAGTAAGATTGAAAAAGTGAACGTTTACCCTGTCCCCTTCATTTAAATGACAGTGCTATCACAATAGAGGATCTGAACAAAATAAGGTGCTGTTCATGGCATAAGAAAATTATGATTTGCCTCATTCTGCAAGAAACAACTCGGCAGCCTCTGAAAAAAACCTCAAGTCTTTAGCAGAATTTGGATTTCTAGTTAGCAGACAAGTCTGTCAAGTCTGAACACTGTCACTGASTGCCAGTGCTTTCCCCGGGCAGCGTCCCCCGGCACCGTTAGCGGCGCAGGTCCCGGCCGCAGCGGGTGTGGAAGCTGAACCGTCACCTGAAGCGCTCRGTTAGAGCCGAACCGCTGAAACCGCTCAGCTCTACAGGTGGGTGGGTAACGCCAGGGCAGGAGSTGGGAGGGCACACGTGGGAGGATTTTGAGAGATGTGCCGGAGATGCCAGCCAGAACTTAGCTGGACACTCCCTTCGGTCTCCTGGACGCTGCCAGACCCCTTGRCAAATGAACACCGGCACCAGTGTGCCAGCTCCGATGAGGAGGCCCCGGCCGGGCCCCTTCACRGCTGGAACCCCCCGGGCAGGCTCCCAGTGATGCTCCCGGGGAGGTCCCGGTAACCCCCGCCGAGCCGAGCCCTACCACCCGCCCTGGGCAGGGCGCCGGCAGCCGGGGCGTCCCGCTAGGCCGRTTCGGTGCCCAAGACCACTGCGACCATCCCTCTCCGCGCCCCGCCGGTACCTGCACTCCTGGGCCGCCTCTCCGCCCGCGGCCGCCGGCGTAACATGGCGTCGGAACATGGCGAAGGGCGGGCCCGGAGACGGCAGCCCCTCGCCGAGCGGTCGGGTCATGGCGCGGGCGGCCCGGCGGAACCCGAGCGGCCGAGGGGAGCGGCCGCCCCCGGCAGCATCGCCAGGGCCGCGGCTCGAACGCYCCACACGCCCGGAACGCCCAGCGCGGCCGCGGGTCACGAGCGGGACCTAACGGGCTGCGCTCTTTCTGTTTTTTTAATGGACTCGGCCGCTGATTGGCTGAGCGGCTGCAGCAGCGGCGTCTCCCATTGGCTCTTTTCCAGGAGGGGGCGGGACGGGCGGTGGGATCGCCCGACAGAGGAAGGGTTGTTTGGCGCCTTGGTCTCGCGCCAGTCCCCGCCCCCCGCTCTGCCGCTCTCTGATTGGTGCGCTCTGGACATGCCCCGCCCCCCACGCGAGGCCCCGCCCCCGGCGCTTCCGGGCGGCTCCAGGTGTCCCGGGCGGTGCTGGGCCCTCAGCCCTCAGCCCTCAGCCGGGGACACTGAGCCCTCAGCCGGGGACACTCAGCCCTCAGCCGGGGACACTCAGCCCTCAGCCGGGGACACTGCCGGGGGTTCTGCCACCAGCAGAAGCGTCCTGCGAGGAAAACGGCCACTGACCCCCAGCCAGCTGCAGGCCGTGCGGCTTGCACTGCCTCTGGGAGGAGATCCAGGCGGCACATCCATCGCCAGAGCCGCGAGACAATGTGGGGACACTAAAACATTGGGATGGGAGTAACATTTTCAAAATCACCTACAAAATCACCACTGAGCCCTGTGCCTTCCCGTCCGCAGTCTGTCAAGCAAGATTCCCTCTGTGCCTGGACTTCCCYCTGGAAACACATCCTCAGTGTTAGTACTGTATCCTGAAACAGGACCCGGCAAACATTTTGGACAGAAACTTGGACTASGCAACCTGAAGAACCAGACCTGCCAGCTTAGTACTGCTATCTATATTATTCAGTGCTAATTGGCATAATTAGTCTGTAAAAATTAGCCATATCAAAATGAGTTCCCATTGAGTTCCCATTCCCATTGCCTTGGCAGTTCAATGCCAGGCACTGCACAGATACGAGCTCTTCCCAGGTGGTCTGCAGAAATGTGAGATCATACAATCAGAGATTCGTTTAGTTTAGAAAAGACATTTTAAATGCCCTGAAGGCTATCTGGGACAGTTTGTGCTGAAATTAATTTTTTTCGTTGCACTCTTTGTTGGAGGTTTTATTTAGCACTTTGCCTAAGAGTGGAGATGATCAAGTGCACTGTTTTCCTGATGTTTTTCTTGGATTCTCAAACACCAGGAGACAATTGGCTCAAATGAAAAGGAGTGAYGCATCCCACACCCTACGTTAGTGTTATAAAGAAGTTTTGTCGAGTTTGGCTTTCACAGTGTTGCATAATTTAATGGTGGATTTATGATAATGGTTTTTTTTTGTAAATATTGACTTGAATTGTACTTAAGTTATTGTAGAGTGTTGATTTTGGGGGAGGTCGGTCTTGCATTCCAATGAGGGGAAAAGTTAAGTGGAGTCATGAAGAGTTTCTAAAAGACGAGAGCTGCATACAGAGCARCTTCAACAGAATGTCCAATTCCAGCATTGGTGATAGCAAGGTGAAGCTGTTTATCACAGGGAGTAAAGTTCGATTTCTGAAGTGGCAGAGGATTGTGAAACTTTCCTACAACGCTAAGTACAAGAATGGAAACAAACACAAGCAGTGAAGMTGCAAAAGGAAGTGTTTTCTAAGATACCAGAGACACACAGGTAACAGCAAAGACCAGAATCATCGTAAGTTTTRCCCYCTTGGAGATTAAGTGTTGTAAACTRATTTTTCCCTGATACAGGATCGAGTTGGTGTGGAAACTGATCAACCAATATTTATTAGCATACCTTTTGTTAAGTTGTTGTAGTCAACTTATTAACAGCARATCAATATCCAGACAGTAAATTCAGTTATTCTTTGGTGATTTACACACCTGCCATCACTCATCATTRCACAGTAGGGAGGGGGAAGCTGACCACGGTGGTTTTCTCACATACACGCTGATGAGCCACTGGCTTCAGGGTCAATGCTCAGAATGAGATAGGAAATGTTTAAAGATTTTAATTGCTTTTCCTGGGAGAACATGGATACTGAAAAAAGTTGTGGAACTGGTGGAATAGATGAAGCCCAGTCTAAAGGAGAAGTGTTTCAATATAGGCAGCCATTATTCTTTGCACTGCAAATGTAAAGGGGACAGATGAGTGCTATGCAGCTTGGGGGTTTTTAAGTAGAAAARCACTTAATCATGATAGCAGAATGTTTTCTTTAGTCTTAGACTGGCTTCCTCTGACTGAATCATACACCTGAGCACAAAGCCAGAAGCATAGCAGCACCTCACACGAACATGTCTGAACCAAGCCTGTGTAAACTCATCAGGTTGATGYTCTTTTCCAGGCACTTCCACACTCAGCTTCCTGGCTTCCTCAGCTGCTCTTTGTTCCCTTCATCACCAATTTGCTCTGTGGTTTCGGCRCAGCCACAAATTACAGTAGAGTTCATACACAGACATTTTCTGGTATTCCTGGTTTCCTTTTTTTCCATCATGCTGGAGAATCTCTCCGCTACTCACTAATTCCCAGATGTTTTCAGATCAGACACTCCCTGCTGTGCATTACAGGAACCAATTTACACTTCCTTTACCAAGCAGACACTGATACCTTGACATGCAGCTCATGGAGCAGAAGACTAAGCTGTCTTTTAGGTGAACATCTGGAGAGAATATTGATGGCACTAGTTTTGATTGCAATAACAGTTTAATAGATGGAGAGGGTTTTTATCTACAGGTTGGGAAAGATTTGTGCTTTTCAGAGCCTGCTTCATCCAGGGAATTTGCARCTGTAATGGGGAACTCTACTAGCACCCCAGTTTGGGTTTTTTTTGACTGGACAAAAAGCTGACAGCACTGCATTGATGTGTCAAGGGGACACAGAATGTAGGAAATATCTGTCACGGCTTTCTGTACACAATAATTCTTCTACATTAATATACATTTACWAATCAATACACAGTTTGCTCACTTTAACAAAATAATGATTCTCCTGCATGCATACTCATTMCCAYWATCATTTTCATGGAAAAATTTCAAATSTGTATAGGTCAGTTAAATTCCATCTATTCTATTCCCTACCTTTTATTCATTCAAGCATTTCCAAGCTGTGAGTTCCACGACTCTCAGTACTAAGAGTTTCATAGGCAAGAGCTATGTAACCACACACACAAAATTCCTTTGTCATGACTACAAGGAAAAGTCTGGTTTATACCTTAAGCAAATTAAAAATGGAAGTGGCCTTCACCTGTGGCTTCTTCAGCAGACATCTATGATGTTAACATTCACCAAAGCTAATTCCTGTCCTTGGTGCTCTGTTTCTGTGGAGGCTGTCTCTGGGTAAACTTCCTGTTAATCACTGATTGTTTCTGCAGAGATTAATCATTCTTGACACAAAGGTCAAACACAAAAAGAAAAGATGAGGGGCAATCCACTGCTAGCAGGCAATGAAAGGGGTTTTCCTTCAGCAGCTTACCACTGTTTCTCTGGACTTTTTTCTCCACAAGATGAACACAAGATGTTATGCTTTCAKCATAACAAACAACACAAATTTTAGTAGGTAGGTTTAGTTAGCTAATCAAGTTGCCAGACCTTTCTCATTTTCTTCCACTTCCATGTTATGCTGTCGGCCAAGCTCTTTCAAAGAGATCCCTTTTGCAAAGATTGACAGAATCTCTGAATCAGTCTCAAATATTGTAATTCTTTTACCATCAGAGATCTGATGAAGCTGGGGACTGCTCAGCCTTCAGAATAATTAACTGGGAAATGCCTACTGGGACAGGGGAATAAGAATCAGAGGTAAGCAGAGACAGGACATGTGACGTCTAGCCAAAATGAGCAAACACTGTTATATTTCAAAAGCTAGACGTGCAATCAGTCAGTAAAACCTCTTACACTGACTTCCTACTATTTTTAATCTAAGTTCCATGTCTGTGAGTGAACAAATGGGAGGCTATATATCAAAAGTGGCATACACTAGCAAATCTTCTTTAAAGACGTTTTTGTTTAGCAACCAGACAATTCTGCAAGACCAGCCAATTCACCTAGGAGCCAGGGAGCCACACAGCTGTCACTTCAGTGAGGAAAAGACATCATCATGGCTTGGWGAGGGGGGAAGAGGCTTTGTAAAAGCAGAAGAGAGTTAGATGTTATTAAGGAAAACTTGTTGCCACCTCATCCAAGACTWATGGAGGAAGAAGCAAGATTCTTAGGGGGAAAAAGTCACTGCAAGAACTTTGAATTCTTAAAGAAGTAAATGACATTCTAAAAATTGGTTCAAGCCAGCTCAAAAACTAGATCTAGCACCACCAAGAGGARCCCAAAATATGGAACAAGGATTTGAAAGCCAACATCACATCATTAGTGTTACGCAAGCGGTCCTCATGAGTTTTGACATGTGTCTTGGAACGTGGTGTGAAAACGTGAGCAAAACATGTGACAGGGAGTAAGGAAAATAAGTTGTCTTTAAACTAAACTTCCTTTTTCATTAAGATTCACATTGAATCTTGTTACACTGATTTTTTTTACAGGCATAGGGCAGCAAGTGCAGCATGCATCTCATCTTTCCAGAGTCTTGTATGCTTTAATAAAGCCTTCCAGCACTCCAGCCAGCTCCCCCATCCTGGCCCATCTCAGCTGTATCAGATAGCTGAGATGAGTCATAGGCTCTCCCTTGGATCTAAAGCCAAATCACAGCTAGAAATGCACAAAACTGGGCAGCAGGCTTGGCCAGAACCATTTCCACTGAAATAAAGATCAGGTATTGCTACAGCACACCACTAATTGCTCTTCTCTGAATTCCCTCGAGAAATTCACAGCTTTCCTGAAGAACAAAGTGCAAACCCATTCACTATACTCCCACAGGAGCCCCATTACCGGAGAAACATCTATTCTCATACCTGCAGGATAAGCTCCTGCACACACAGG